CTCATTGCCATGTTGAGTTTCTGTCAAAGTGCTACAGGGTCCTTTTGTTTTCTCAGAAAGTGGAGTGCGTTTGGACAGATAGAGAATTGCAGTCATCAGAGCCCTGGCTCTGTGTCTGCCTTTTAGGGAGAGGGGACTCACAATGTCTGCTCAGAATGCTGGCTGGTCCTGAGATGCCACCATTAGCTGCTCCTGGGACAGAAGCCACCCCAGGGCTGTCACCACTAAGTGCACACTTGAGTACTGAGCATTTAAGAAGGCACACACTGCCTGTAATGACCTCCCACTGCAGCAGAGGCTTGCTTGGGCTTTGGAGTCAGAAAGTAAACATAGACTGAACATTTCAGGCAAGATGGAGACAAGTTAGAGCACTTTGCAAGCACTCCTCCAAAGACAGATGTTTCCAGGGGAGAATGGCTCTCGGAGATGGCAAGGGCTGACGTTGCAGGGAGGTTCTCTCGGCACGCTGACTGCTGAACCCTGCCCATCCCACTGCCACCTGTCCCCTTGCTCCAGGGGAGTCCAGTCAGCTCCACTCAGGAGCCGTCAGTTCTCCTTGCAGACACTGTTTGCAACACAGTGTGTGGTCAGCTGCAGTACTTCTGCTCTTAGCTACAAGGAGTTCTTTCCATCGGTCTCAGCAAGCATTTAGAAATGCTCATCTGAGAAGGTATAGAGAAACAAATAATTTGAGTATTAACTCACAGAGCCAGGCTGTTTCAGACACGACGGTGAACATGCTAAGATGGAGGGACTGTGGGTCTGGGGATCGGGATGGGTGTTACAAGCATATCTACCTGGAGACCAGATGAAAGGCTGTCACATTACAGGCCTCAGAGCACGGTGGCCCAAACCGAGCAACCAGAGTGGAAATCTGAGAGTGCAACGTGTTGAAGAGCATGAGTGACGTCACTGAGCAGCTCGTTAGCAGCTGAGGAGTGGGCACCTGCACTGCCTGCAAGCCTTCAGCACACCCCATGTTGTTACAGGAGGGCCCTGTGGGGCGGCGGAAGGCAAAGACAAGTGGAGACGTTCTGATCTTTAAAAGGAAGGCGCTCAAACCCTGGGGTATAAGTGCAGTCTGTCTGAGGGCTACCTCAGATTTCCTTCTTTACACCCAAAAGCGGCAAGAATGGGACAGAGGGTAGATGGGCTTCAAGGACTGCAGGGGCGGTTTCCTTGTACACTCACACTGCTGACTCCCCAGGATTGGGGGCGTGGCTGCCTTGTACACTCATACCGCTGATTCTCCAAGATTGCAGGGGTGGTTCTCTTGTAAGCTTACACCTCTGATGCCCCAGATGCTAATGTTTCAAGATATAAGCACGCTGCGTGGGCAGTTAGGTGAATTATCCCAGTAACCAGAAGAATCTGACCTTCTCATTTACGAGTAGGGACAGTTAGGACCGATTAAGACACTGAGGCATGGGGCTGAGAGACAATAACATGTGGCCCAGTGGTCAGCTTTCTAAACAGCAAGTGAATGACCAGGTGCCTCTGAGACAGTGGTGACATGTCAATGATCAGGGGCCCCTGAGACAGTATGAGTAGCACAGCAGTGACCAGGTGTCCTAAGACACAGCGTGAGTGACACATCCGTGACTGGATGCCCCAAGACAGCATGAGTGAAACATCAGTGACCAGGTGTCTCCAAGACAGTGACACATCAGTGACAGGGTTCTCCTGAGACAGCATGAGTGACACGTCAGTGACTACGTGTCACAGCCCACCCGCAGAGGCATGGTCTTCCCCACAGGAGGTCCTGGGCCTCCCTCGGATGTAGGGAAGTGCTCAGCCATGGTCAGAGAGCAGCGGTGAGTCCCCCGCCAGGCACCTTGCTGTCAAACCACTGCACCAGCTGTCACTGTCTGCTACGTGACATAAGCTTGATGTCAGGTTCGCTCAGGACAGACCATTGCCCACCTGTCCCACTCTGGAAGCTCCACCTCCAGCTGTGGTTCCAGCCCTGCTTTGCTGTCCGTGCAGCTGGGGCTTGGTCTCCCACCTCCCTGGCCTGCTCTCTGTTCCTCCCTGAGCTCACAGCCAACTTCTGCTCTCCAGGGTAACCTGAGCTTCTCCTGCGTGGAGCCCTACACTGTGCCCGTCTTCTTCAACGCCACCAGCTATCTGGAGGTGCCCGGCCGGCATGACCAGGACCTGTTTTCCGTCAGCTTCCAGTTCCGCACATGGAACCCTAATGGCCTCCTGCTCTTCAGCCCCTTTGCTGAGAACCTGGGCGCTGTCGAGATTGACCTCACTGACAGCAGAGTTGGTGTCCACATCAATGTCACGCAGACCAGGATGAGCCAGATCGACATTGCCTCAGGTGGGTGGGTCCTGCCTGGCACAGGCCCTAGGTCACCTCAGGTTGGTGAATCCTTCCTGGCATGGGTTCTGGGGTCTCCTCAGGTGGGTGAGCCCTGCCTGGCATGGGTGGCAGAGAGGACAGTATATGGCATGGTGCATTGGTGCAATGTGCTCATGGTGACATACTCATTCAGAATTTGGCACTACTTTGTTGCACCATGCGCTTATTGAGCGAGGGGCACTTGGCAGGTGCTGAGAAAGTGAGGGTGGTGAAGGTGGTGAGGGGGACAGCTGGGTACTGTCCCAGAGCCTGGGTGTCTTCCTTCTTTTGACTTATTGTCAGTTGAGCAAGTCACATTCTTATTCAGGACGGAAGGAAACATCATCCTATCTTACTGCATCTTCATGACAGTTGGCATTATAAATGCCAGGTCCTGTGTAGCAGAGAGACAGCTACTCGTCTCACCAAATATTTCACCTTTAAAAGCACAGTCTGTTTATTTTAAATATATGTCCATATCTGGTGCCTTTTCTTCATGGTCACTCTGATACTTTTCACTTTAGCAACAAGACTGTGCATCCAATGATAACCTGAGCAGTACATTCAGTTACCTTGGTCAGAACTTCCAAACAACCTTGAAGTTGTCAGATTGAGGACAATCCAGAGGTGACCTCAAAGAGGAAAGATGAGGTGATGTGCCCGTGGGGGCAGATGGTGTCATCATGGTGTGCCATGCTGAGGCTGAGTGTATGTTGCTATTCAAACAGACAGAGGAATCTGGGAAGGTCCTCTGGTAGGGAAGCTGCAGAAAAAGCAGGTCCGGTAAAATGAGATGTCTCACAGAGAACAATTCAGTAGGACAGGGGTGCATGAGGAAGACTGGCACCGTGTCTGTCGGCAGTTGTAGAACTGCAGACTGGTCTGGGTGTCCCTCACAATGTCAGTTTATTTTGGGAAGATGTGTGTCGAAAGGGGACAGGGAGGAAACTAGCATTTACTGAGCTCCTGGCAGGGGGACGCCTGATCCTGAGTGAGGACGTTCACTATGATGGGTATCTTCACCCCTGTGGCTGTTGCTACTTCCCTTTTGTCACTCAGGACAGTGCCCACCTTCTGCACAGACTCTGAACAGTTAGGACGTGTCCACACTGTGTTTCCTCTATAGGCTGTGGGCATCTGAGGACAGGGGCATGTCTCCTCCTCTCTAGCACATGGAATACTCCCTGGAACACAGCCGATGCTCCAGGAATGCCCACTGAGCTCACTGGGGCCCTAGGAGCCCCTGTTGATCAGCAGAGTTTCTCCCGCTGAAGGC